TATATATACTATTAAGTATTTATTAACTCGAGGAAAGGACTATTTATATAAGTATCACCCTACGTTTGGGTCTTATACTTGAAACGCTAGTTATTCTATATTTAGCCTGCTACTCGCTCGGTACTTGTACTGACCCCTTCGAGGCCCCCCCACCATTTTCAGGTCGAAGCTAGGGCTTTCTACCTCCACATTTCTACGGGTGACATCAAATCAAGGAAGACGTGGTTCGTGCTTCCTCATTTTATTTCAAATTACCAAACATTGCTCATGAATACTTTTATTTATTATAAACTACTTTTGGGTTTGCATGCCCATGTTATTGGTCGAATGTGACCTATGAAGTACCACTGAATATTTCCGCTATTCAATGGTTTAATTGTGATGTTTGTTATGTATGTTTACTACTGAGCATGGATGAATTATTTTCTCGAACGCCTTGTATGATTAAGTGAGGTTGACCTGCGGGTGACGTCACTTGATTATACGGCGGTTGTACACGCGCTTAGATTGTGGTCTGGGGCGTGACAATTAAGTGGTATCAGAACCATTTCAGTTCTAAACTATGTAATCAACATCTCACAAGGGATTTTGCAAAAAGGGAATTTTTACCGAAAAGCATGAGCATTGTATTTTGACGTTCATAGAACTATTGTTACCTAGGTTGCATGGTCTCTAATTGTATAGATAATACCCTTAACAATGGGTATGACGCGGACTTGGGCCAATACGTGTCTATAACGTTCTTCCATCAATTGACATTGATAGGAGTCTAAAGACTCGTTCAAATCTCCTTTCAGAAATGGAGGGTAGACGAATGACAACGAGTAACAATCCAAGGGGCAGGCACCAGTGACATCCAATATGAGAGATGTGTAAAGAAGACCCGTTACCAACAATGACGTTACCATTTCCGTTGTATGGTTCATAGTGATCCAGAACAGATGGTTGAGATGTCATATGAGCGCTGGCCCCTGTATCAACATACCAATCCGAAGCCGAGGCAGTAATGTTGCAAGAAGAGTTAAAGGTTTGAGCTAGATGGGCAGCAGACGAGGTGCCATGATTTTGAAGGAACTGAGGGCACTTGTGAGCAAAGTGGTCTCCCCGGCAAATTTGACAACGAGGAGTGAAAGCTCTACGTGACCCATGGTTGCTGCTGGAACGTGAATGAGAGCCGGACAGATTGTTACGAGGATTGCTAGGACTTCCCCGGACAGATGAAATAGATCGCTGGCGAGAGGAATTACCTCGTGGTGATGTCCCACGACGGTGAGAACTGTAGAACGGTACGAAGAAGGAGCTCGTACTGCTGAGCCTGTGGAAGCAATGCACTGAAAAGGAGTCCAAGATTTTTTTGGTCGGTTGCTCGCCAAGCTGCGTATGCAGGATTGGGGTTTCCAACGTTGTCAGTAAGAATGGTTGAAGAAGGAGCAACGATAGAGCCATCAACGTATCCAACAAGGTCGAAAGCTGTGAGCATAGGGAAGACTTGACTTTTCCATAGTAGGAAGTTGTTGGAGGAAAGCTTGATGGTAACCATGGTAGCTACTGGCACAGAGTCAGAGCAACCTGAGGAACCAGAAGTCATCTTGGTCGAAGAAGGAAGAAGGCAACGGAAGTGGCAGAGTTTAAGTCTGGGAAATAGGAAAAGGCTGTCGGTTGTTTAGGCTGATACCATGATAGTGTTAATATTTGTGTTTCTCATTAAGTTGAGGAGACTTAATCCCGTATTTATAATAATGATTTACAAAGGTTAATAATACAAGGAGACAAGGAGTAATTACATAAGAGAATTCTAGAGATCACTAAAGTATAATACATTTTTAATTAAGTAACGCTATTATCAATATTTAATACTCCCCCCGGTTCATATTAAAGTTCTCAGTTTGACTTCACACAGATTAAGAAAATAAATTTGATTTTACTGTGGAGTGCACTGTTTGGCACTGTTTGGACACTGTTTGGCACTGTTTGGACACTGTTTGGCACTGTTTTGTTTCCTACAATGGAAGTGTGAACTTAAATAAGGGACATCCCAAAAAGGAAAGTGAGAACTTTAATAGGAACTGGAGGGAGTATTTTGTTAGTGCGATAAAAACGCATGTTTTATGCAAGTCTTGTCAATTTACTGCTACCAAACATCTGAACGTATTTTTACAATCTTATCATATTTTTTCTGGCCTTGAGCCTTACCTACTCGTAATAATTAGTTTAAACTCAGGGGCGGACCGTAGTACAGACTCAGGAGGCTACCGCCCCCCAACAAGATTTTTTTTAGAGTATATATATATGAAAAATAATTTTTTCCCTCCCAAAAAATATTTTGAACCCCCAAAAAATATTTTCACTCCCCAAGATGACTTTCATGGGTCCACCCCTGTTTAAACTGTTTTTTATCCTTAAAATTTACCCAACCCGACATTATTTTTCTTAGGACCTTTTTCAAAATAGGAGTAAATGGAGTTTGGAATTCCAAAATAAGACTACTATGTTTTTATTTCTGAAATAGGACTAACATGACATTATTTACTGACATCTTGTAAGTGTGACTGTTAAATAGTTGCAGTAAGTGTATTTAATATGACATTATTTATTATAATTAATTGCCAATATTTTTCAATCATGCCAGTATTTTTCATACATGACAATAACAACTCCTATTCCGAGAAAAAAAAAACATATTAGTCCTATTTTGGAATTCGACACCTCATTTACTCTTATTTAGGACAATTTACTTTTTTTTCTATTGGGCTGTCCTTTTTCAAAATCATGCACGTTACTCCTCTCCCAATCATTGCCCTTCTCGTCAAAAAAGTTAATGAACAAGAATAATGAGCACATAAAAAGGTACACAATTGTTTCGTACTAAATGATGATATTTTAGACCTAGATAGTATGTAAGCCTTTGATAATTTGACCATTCAAATTAAGTTTTTTGGAATGTAGTAAGCTTTAGGAGATATTTAGCTCTCTTATGACTTAAAAGAAGCTATGTTTTCCAATATATGACTCTTTGAGTTTTTTGCTATTATCATACGGAGTACCTAAATATGGTGCATGGTCATTCCCGTATTTCTTATAGAAATTGGCCAATATAGGAGTAAACATAAACATAATTGCACAAATATGAGTAAAACTTAAAACTTCCTTCAATAGGAGTAAACATTAATTTTGTACCCTTAATATCCCTAACCTAGTTAATTCTAAAATATGGCTTATTTAATCTTAACCTAGTTAATTTATGACTTATTCGATAACAATAATTTATTTATTTATTTATTTATTTTTGAAAAAATAAAAAAAAATATTTTTTTTAAAAATAAAAAACTCAAAAAAATAAAATAAAATTCACCGCCGCCTCTGCCGCCTCTGTACCACCACCTCCAGTCACTAGGGGAAAAAATGCCAAGTTCATTACGAATGCCATATTTATGGCAGAAAATAATGAAAATGTTGGCATTCGCAAAGAGAAATATGTCATGTTTTTGGCATTTTCAGAAAAATGGCAGTTTTTAGGAAAAATGGATTTTTTTTTCACCGCCCGGAGGTGGTGGTGCAAGAAGGTTGTACAGGCGGTGGGAAAGACATCCATATTTTTTTACATTTTTTATGGAGTTTTATTATTTTTTATTATTTTTTTAAAAAAACTAAAAAAATTTAAAAAAATATATTTTTAAATTATTTTATTTTATTAATATTTTATAAATTTTTAATTATTTTTATACGAATTTTTGATTTTTTTTTCGATTTTATTATGAATTAAACATTTAATTAAAAGTTGTTGGGGCTTAGGGCTTGAGTAGGGGTATACTTGTCCAAACACTAAAGTTACTCCTATTCAAAACATGATACTTCTATTTTTGCATTTTGCCTATGTTTTGCTCCTATTTGGGGAATTCTCTCTGTTTCTTAATCTTTATTTAATTCAATGGTTAACTCAATTCTAACAAGTAACCAATTCTTCCTAAAATTATGGAAGTGATTTGCATGAACAAGATTTGCACGTTCTAGTCATACAATGGTAAAACAAATATGGTTAGTCAATATTATGGGAATGTGTTTTTGCCACTTTTAGTTCTCCGACTATTAAGTCACTAACACTTTTAGTATTGGACTTTGAGTTTTTCCACTTTCGGTCCTTCGATTATTGTGCGACAGACACTTTTGGTAACCGTCTTTGAAAATTTCCACATTTAGTCATTTGAATTTCATAAAAGTGATACTTTTGGTCTTTCAACTATTATAACAGGGCTAAAGGGTCAAATAGGTACATGAACTAACTTAAATTGTTCGATTAGCCCCTTATATAGGAGGTTCTACTCGGCCGTCGCCAATTGGGGTCGTTCCCGATGGAATTTTTTGATGAAATTTTTTGAAAATCTTCTTCATTAAGTCTAGTTTACCGATACCAAATTTCAGCTAAAACTTCAACCGGGAAGGTAGTCAAATGATTTTTTGAAGATAACTGCGGAGTTAAACAGCGCAGTACACTTCGGAAAATCATTTGACTGTCTTCCCGATTTAATGTTTAGCTGAAATTTGATATGAGTAAACTAGACTTAATGAAGAAGATTCTCAAAAAGTTTCATAAAAACATTCCATCGGGAACCGCCCCAATTGGCGACGTCCGGACAGAACCTCCTAAATAAGGGGCTATTTGAACACTTTAAGTTAGTTCATGTACATATTTGACCCTTTAGCCTTATAACAGTGACATTTATAGTCCTCCACTTATTGCATCAAATTTATAATGAAAAGACTAAAAATGTCGATTTTATAACACTCAGGGGACTAAACATGGAAAATATTGAAGTCGAAGACTAAAAGTGTCTCTCGCACAATAATACAAGACTAAAAATGGAAAAATTGAAATTAGAGTATCAAAAGTGGGAATTAACATGAGTTTTAGTAATATATAGAAGTGGATGAAGACATTTAAATAGACATGAAATTAATATGTACTCCATTTGGGTAAAGACATTCGAGTAATTGTTTATAACCTTGGTTATAGAAGTAGGAAGATCTATTTATGAACTGCTTGAAATGTTCCACTTGAATATCCATAGGGAATGGACTGACACCATTCCGGAACCATGACTCATCATGTCTTCTAATGGTTGCACCGCCGGTCGCGAAATTTGCCCCATGCCGGAAAGTTGTTCCGACGGAATCCAAGTATGCACTCAAGTGTGGCATTCCCAAATGTTCAGCTACACATGAAAAATGACCAAAACCATTTAAAAATAGATCATCCTTTATGAATAAATACATAATAAAATAATTTTTTTATATACACAATTTTAAGATAAATTGTGATTTACACAATTATTTTTCTGTATTAAATTTAGTTTGATTTTCCTTATAATCCAATACTCATTAATATAATAGTTTGATAATTTCTTAAAATTACATAAGCAATATTGGTCTCATTTGAAAGATCATGAAAAAAAATGTTGATATAAATTTTATAAAAATCGGATCAAAAATAAAAAAGGTATTACCATTTTTAAAAACAAAATGAAAAAAAAAATAAAGATCATGAAAAATAAAAAACTTTGATATAAATTTTATAAAAATCGGATCAAAAATAAAAAAATTATTAACAATTTTAAGAAAAGAGATATAAAAAATAACAAAGGGTGCATGATGCTCACCATGCACCGGTTCCACGGTATAACTACTGCTAACTGAATAACGAGGAACATCCATGATCTATTTGAAATGCAGAAATAAATAAAAAAGCTCTGAGAAAAAGAAGACTCATAATTTACCTTTTAAAAATGTTTTCTTTTGGACTGTTTTCAGTCCCAAACCAGAACAGATCAAATCATACTTTAAAAGATCAGACCAAAGCAGACTTCAACAGACCACACCAGACTAGATTTGGATAGTTATAAAATACACAGAGATCATACATTTATCAGATCACACCAGACCAACAAACTTCACTCTAAAAAAACATCCTAATTCTGTCAGAAGGTGACGACGTCAAAAGTTTCAATATGGAACTCGTCCTTGACCTCTTTAATTTTTTCAATGGCCAACTCAATTGCACTACATCTATCTTATTTTGCATTGGAGACGATACTTCTATTTTAATAATACACCAAGGTTTTACTAAAATTTTAAGTAGATCAAATAAACACAAAATTATAGTTTTTGGTTCCATTTTGACCACCCTTTAATGCCTCTATTACACGACCCTTCGTCGTCGTTAACTCCCCATCGTTCCAAAACCCCCTGCCCCACCCCAGTCCAACACTTTGCCCCTCCCAAGCCCTTGTCTTGCCCTTGCCACCTCCCCAGCTCCAGATTCGAGCAGCCAAACCCCGATCCGCACCCCCTAGCGGCCCGAGCTCCGACCAACCATCCCTAGTCTCCCAAACCTGCCCCCACTCGAGCCCCAGCTACCACCACAACCCCCTCGAAACCCCCCTCTCAGCCTCGTAGCCCTTGTCACAAGCCCAACACCGTCCCTCACCTATTGTCGCTGCCTACAACCGCACCGTTGCCCACCCCTAGCTGCCGACGAGATGCTCCAGATCGAACGGAGCACGACCAGATCTAGATCATTGACATCGATGTAGAGATGAAACGACGGCGGTAGCTATAGTTTCGATGATGTCGCGATTCGATGATGGTGAAGCCTGCGATGGGTAATGGGTAGGCTTAGATGCAGCGGCGACATTGACGGTGAGGCGGAGCGACGGTGAGGCGGTGACGCGGAGTTAATTGGATGCCATTGTTGTCTGCCCTTCTGGATCCAAGCCAACTTTAATTGGATGGGGAGTTAACGGGGAAGGGTTGTTTGGCGGGGAAGGCGTTAAAGCGTGGTCAAATGGAACCAAAAACTATAATTTTGTTTTTATTTGGTCTACTTAGAACTTTAGTGCCTAATCCGAGCTTCGCGAAAAACCTTGGTGTCATTTTTTGGTCTTTCTCCCTTTGATGATATGGAAGTGCAGCGGACAGCGGTGTGATCATGGATATATTCATCTTATAATACAATAGTCATAACATTATATTTATTCACACAATTTTTTTAGTCAGATATTATCTGACAGGACCGTCGTCCAGCCGTCACATTTTGATATGGTTCACAGTGGAATTTTCTTATGAAATTTTGTAAGTATATTCTCCATGAAATACTTGGGCACGACTTTTTCAATAATTTATTTAAATGATTTTTCGATTAAATTTTAAGTTTAAATTTCGTGGACATAATCTACATTTCATAAATAACATGCTCACAATATATTTTATCAAAAATTCCAACCGGAACCACAAAAAATGCAATCGATAAATCATTGTAAATGTGCTCATATTATCGTCCAGAAGAAACATCTCGACAATGGTCCTGCTTAGGAACCTTTATTTTCAACTCATCAGATTCACCCAACCAATTTTGTTACCAAATACGTAATATTTTATTTCACCGAATTAAGCAACAATCAAAATAAGATGTTGCTTTTCTGACTGACTATATATACTAAAATTAAATAAAACAACATTTTAACTATTTTTCAAATATTTGTTTCTTAATAAAATATATTTTAAATATAGTATTTCCATAATTCAACACATCCGACCATTTTTCATAAATTGAGAGAACTATCAAATAAGCGTTCGAACTTACATAAAAAGTGCAAATCAGTACATTTATAAGAGGCTCTGTCCGGCCGTCGCTATTTGGGGAGGTTTCCGGTAGAATTTTTTGATGAAATTTTTTGAGCATCTTCTTCATTAAGTCTATTTTACCCATACCAAATTTCAGCTAAAAATTCAACCGAGAAGACAGTCAAATGATTTTCTGAAATATACTGCGTTATCTAACTGCATAGTTATCTTCGAAAATTCATTTTAGTGCCTTCCCTATTGAATTTATAGCTGACATTTGGTATGGTAAACATTTCAATATATTTTAAATATAGTATTTCCATAATTCAACAAATCCAACCATTTTCCATAAATTTAAACCGAATGAGGTAATTGACGTACCAATAAAGTCTACGATAAGACGTCCGTCGCCGGCCCTGCCGGCAGCTCTGTGAAAAAAAGTCTGGCCGCTGGGATATATCATCGGGAAAAAGGCGGCTGCTATTCCTCCGGTGTCGGAGTTGGAATCGCCGAAGTTGTATATTGCCCGGAAATCACACGGTGGCACATCAACTCCTTCCCCCAACCACAAAATGCACCACCACATCAACAAAAGTCCGACAACACTTCTTGCCCCAAACTCCATTCACCACCTCAAAATTAATTAATTACTTTCAAGCCACTACCGACTCCATCTTTGGCCTATTTAATGTTTTTTTTCGATGCACGCAGCTTACTTATACTTTAATTAATTAATGCACGGACAGTACAACCTCTCTTCTTATTTAAAAAGGTAGGCAAGTACTCGATCGCAATTTATATCCTGAGATCGTCGCACAATCTTCGATCCCAAAACGACGCAGCATCCATTATTTTTTATTTCTTTTATTGTTAAAAATTATAATAACTTTTTGATTTGATATCTGATTTTTATAAATTTTATATCAATTTTTTTATTTTTCATGATCTATCAAATGAGATCAATATTGCTTATGTAATTTTAACAAATTATTTTGAAGTTACATTTGATAATATATCATAAAGTTACATCTTCCTCTGCGCGAGTTACATCTTATTGTACGCGAGTTACATCTTAATATACGCGAGTTACATCTTAATGTATGTGAGTTACACCATGAAATAAATCCCTGCTACATCTTTCATTTTTATCATTTGAAAGATAGTGTATGAATATGAAATACAATATACTTATTTTATGTGGATTAATAAAATTTTGTATTAAATTGGCAAAGAAAAAAATTAATTCAGTTATAATTGAATTAGTTGAAGATAAAGATAAGTAAAAAATCACAAATAATTAGATATAACTCACACATAATTAAATGTAACTCGCGCATAAAAGTATGTAACTCGTGTATAACAAGATGCAACTCACACATAACAAGATGTAACTCACACATAATTACATGTAACTCGCGCATAAAAGTATGTAACTCGTGTATAGCAAGATGTAACTCACACATAACAAGATGTAACTCACACATAATAACTTGTAACTGGAGTATAAGATGATGTAACTTCGTATATTATGAAATGTAACTCCAAGCTAGAAGCAAAATAAACAAACTCAATATCTTAAAAACCTCTAAAAACATATAAAAGTGATTAAAAAAATATATTATAGAAAAAGTGTATGCATATAAAAATATATTACAAAAAAATGTATGAATGTAAAAAATTAAAATTACATAGGCAATATTGGTCTCATTTGAAAGATAATGAAAAATAAAAAATTTTGATATAAATTTTATAAAAATCGGATCAAAAATAAAAAAATTATTAACAATTTTAAGAAAAGGAGAAATAAAAAATAACAAAGGGTGCATGATGCTCACCATGCACCGATTCCACGGTATAAGCACTGGTACTGAATAATTCATTTTCTATCCCGAGTACTATACGTGAGATTTCCCAAAATAGGAGTAAATGAATTTTGAAATTCCAAAATAGGACTACTATGTTTTTATTCCCGAAATAGGACTAACATGACAGTATTTACTGTCATCTTGTATGCGTGATTGTCAAATAGTTGCAGTACATTGCATTTAAAATGACAGTGTTTATTATAATTAATGACAATATTTTTTAATTATGTCAGTATTTTTCATACATGGCAGTGAAAATTCCTATTTCGGGAAAAAAATATAGTAGTCCTATTTTGGAATTCCAAACATCATTTACTCCTATTTAGGGTAATTTCCCCATTACTATATCCGTCTCACTGTACATGTTTTTTTTGCCGAACACAACTTTATTAAAGGAAAAGCAGAGGAAAGTACATAGAAGATACAAAAGAGGAAAGCAAGAGAAAGAAAACCCAACCAGTAGTGCAACTTACATCCTGTCAGATTGAGATTATAGTCCAACTTACATCCTCCCAACGTACCGTCCGGTCAGGGTTTGGGGGCCCTCAAGGATGGGGTGTCATCCTTTTTTTTACGAAAACCACCCAAGAGAGCAATAGGAGGTCATTCTAGATTGCAGAGGTCCACCCGAAATTGGGATCTAGTCCTCATTGTGTGCGATCGCTGATGCTTTTTTTATATAATTTAATTTGTGTTCAAATTTGATGTAGGCAAGCAGTTATCCCTCGTGACTAGTGACATGCCAAAATGTGTAGTGTGAAATGGTATAAAAATGTGAATGAAAATGATGTTTTAATTGACTTGTAACGATATAGTATAGAGTACGTGAGTATCGTTCCACTAGAGAATGACTCATAATGAGAACTATAATTAATGATTGATTTTTAGCTAATCACACATCGATAAGATTTTGCAATGGAGCTAAGTGAATAGATTTTTTTTAATCTTGTTTTCATAAATGCGAAATTGCTAGGGAGTAAAATAAATCACAATACTTGATAATTTAACAATTAATGATATAGAGAAAATTAGGCCTGTGCTAAGAGTAATTTTATTTTGATGTTCATAATAATAAAGATTTAACTAATTAATTAACTTGGTTACTTTTAGGTGTGTGAAAGATTTACAAATGGTAATCTTCTAATCGTTCCCACGACTTAGTTGATTACACTGTCTTAAATTAATTCCGCTCCCGCAGTAATTTTATTAAGACAGTAAAAAGTACAAAAACAAATTTATCCTAAATTCCTTAACACTTCCGTGTAGCCATTTAGTGGTGAATTAACAAAAGAGATTTTTAATGAAATTTCACTCCCGTGATAATATTCATTTCTCAATATAATGTAATTAGCATATTACAATATTCAACCCAACACTCCTAAATTAATCAAGTAATAGTTTTAACCAATTATTATCATATGAACATTAACAGTAAAAATTACATCTTGCCCAAACCTAAACTAATTTAGTTACACATAATTACAGTAAACGAAATAAAAGTAAAACTAATGACATACATAATTAATTTAACAATTTAAAGAAAATAAAATGAGTATTTGAATAAGAACCTGAAGGCATAAATAATCATGGATGAGCTGAAACAGAGATAGTGAAATCCTTATGCTGAAAATGATTCTGACTGATACTTCCCAAATGAACTTGATTGTTGAAATATAAAGAACTAAAATTCTGGAAATGAAAATTACAAATTGAAATTTACAGAAAGTGTTCTTGAAGAAGAATCACTTTTATTATAATACTACTACTATGAACAAAGCTAAAGAAAGGAAGAGATTTCTCTCTGAATTGGTGTGTTTTGCAGCTCCTCGATGCCCCTTTTATAGTAGCAGAAGAAGGGGTTAAAGCATAAAAATCCTAGAATGAAGATCCTCATAAATAATTATTTTGCTGTGATATTACTTGAGTCTTCATCAGATGCGATTGCCCAATTCTCAATTTCTTTGTGTGAGTAGTGCCACTCTTGTTCTGTTGTAATTTTTTTCTTCGTTGCTATCTTGTTGCTGCTGTTCTCGGTGATGGCTGACCGGAGATGAACAAGTTGGTTTTGATTTTAATTGCTTAGCTTGCTTTTTAGGTCCCCCAATCAATGAAATGCATTTGCACTTCATTATTTTTCCTCCTTGAGAGCTTGTACGTGGATGTAATCTCACTCACAATAAGGAGTGGACAGTACATGTCAGCCAAAGTTTTGGCTTGTATCCGCCACTTGCATTATTTGGCCGGTTAACCATTTGATCATTTAACTGATCAACAGTTAACCGGTACATTTTATTGCGGACAATTTGCCTTATTCGGAAATGTATTTCAGGTCTTTTGATAAATATTTCGGAGTTAAAATAAGGACCCACTTCACTTTGATGATTTTTCTGTCTTCACACTCAGGAGTAATATTTATTTCTTTTCAGAAATTAGTATATGTCCTAAATTATTCTGAAACTCAAAGATATACCAAAACAAGTGCAATACCTTAAAATGTCCAAAATGATAAAAATCAATCCTGTTTATTTAAAAATGTGAAATAAAGATATTAAAAGTGTGACAAAACAGGATCATAAATTCGGTAAATTAAGAGTACATAACCTAGTCTTGCCTTGTTGCACATGTCCTGATAGGCATCTAAATCCCATAGATCTTCCATGGATGATATAAGAGGTATTTTCTCAGTCTCCGAAGTATGGCTAAGAAATTCATCCCCGGATTATGAGTAAATATGATCAGCAAGACACACTCTTCATCAACAGAGGGTTGATTACCTGTATGAACATCGTTGATCTCCAAAGTACACAAGTTAGTGTTGTCTTCCTCATTTGGCCTCATAACCCTTGTTTCACGATCACCCAAAAAGGAGGATTTTTTTCTTTCAAATTCTCTAATTAAAAAAGAGAAAGAGAGTCAACTCCATTTACAGCATCTGTTTTCCGATGCAGAGACAATCGCCCAACCGCATGGTACACACACAACTTGGTGATGCTTTCACTGGTCCATGGCATATTGTGACACTCCTATCTTGTTGTGTGTTTATGCATTTGGAGCGTATTATATCTCGTTGGAAAGATAAACAGGAGCTCTAAAGCTATTGTTCCAACTTCATTTACAATGCATTAATTACAAGTTACAGATTAACCATATATTCACAAATGTTTCCGATTTCACTCCGAACTCGTGTAGAATTTGATGCGATCATATCTTGCTCTATTTTGTGCCGTTCGAAGCGTTTAATATCTCGTTGGAAAGTTCCTACCGAGTTCTAAAACTTGTCTTCAAGCGCTGGTTTCAAATTATGGAGGGATGATTGCCTAATTACTAAAATACACTGTATTTACGCTAAAAGTGCTATATTTTCGCTGAAAACGCTAAATCATAGAGACAAGGCTAAGTATTTGTAACACTCATATCTTGCTACGTGTTTATCTGTTTGGAGCGTATTATATCTCGTTGGAAAGATAGATTGGAGCTCTAAAGCTATTGTTCCAACTTCATTTATAATGCATTAATTAAAAGTTACAGATTAACCATATATTCACAAATGTTTCTGATTTCACTCCGAACTCGTGTAGAATTTGATGCGATGATATCTTGCTCTATTTTGTGCCGTTAAAAGCGTTTAATATCTTGTTTGAAAGATCTTATCGAGTTCTAAAACTTGTCTTCAGGCGCTGTTTTCAAAATATCAAGGGATGATTGCGTAATTACTAAAATACACTGTATTTACGCTAAAAGCACTCTATTTTCGCTGAAAACGCTAAATCACAGAGATAAGGCTAAGTATTTGTGACACTCATATCTTGCTGTGTGTTTATCCGTTTGGAGCGTATTATATCT